GTATATTAACCAATAAACAATGTGATACTTCCATACCCGCATACACACATTCACACTCTTAAACACAAATACAAATGCATGTGTGCAAGTGCCTACACACATGCACACAAACACAAAATGACAGCACTTATACAAGTGAACAGAGAAAGAAAAATGTAATCTAGTTAATTTTTCATCTAACCCAACTGCTATTCCTTTTCCGCTTGTTTCTTTAGCTCATTCTTTAATCTACGATGCTCCACTTTAAGCTTCTTCTGCATGGACTTGTGAAAGGTTATCTTTTCTGACTTGGTAAGGTTTTCGGACTTGTTCCCATTTGTACGACTGGCAAAAATGGACTCAAGATTTTTTCTTTTCACATTTTCAAGCTCTTCAATAGCTGCCTTTTTCACCCAAACCCCTTCATACTGGGTCATGATGTCACTTTCCTCGAACTTGAATGACATGAAAGAATCCTTTGGTGCAGTGCTTTTGCCTGACGATTTCTCATTTTTCTCAGCCTTGTTCTTTTTTGCCTTGCTTTTTTCCTTCTTGGGCATTTTTGTATGATCTCTGTTTTCTGTTACTACCTCTTCCCCTTCTTTCTCCTCCTCAGGGGATGACAGCTCCATGTCTGTAGTGGATTCTGCCTTATTTTTCTTGGCTTTTTTGGGCTTTGGTTCTGACAAACCCTTTTCTTCCACCTGTGATTTTGATTTTTTCCCCTGCTTCATTTTGCCTTGGGTATCTTTACTAATTTGGGATTTGGATGTCTTCTGGATGTCTTTAAGCTTCTTTGGTTTCTTTTCTGCCTTCTTCAACAGTTCCATTCTGAGTTGCTTATGTGCTTTACGTCTGGCTTTCAGGAGGATCATCTTCTTCTGCAAAGAACATAAGAAATGGATATTAGCAGAAATATATGCTTGGTACTTGAACTTTTTTAAAAGATAGATAATATGCACATCAAGTATACATTTCCCCTCTTTTGTATACATCTACAGTACATATTAATGCATACTGTCTACATGTACATATACAGATATATCCATATACAGAAAATGCATCCATCATAAAAGCACAGGGTCTCATAACAGTTAGGACCATATTTTCTATCGCTATGTATTGTAGGGCTTTAGTTCCTTAATTCATGATAAATTAAACTTGCTAGGTGATTTACATCAAGTGTTTCTGCACCTCTATGCATTGGCAAAGGCCAATCCTTATTTACATTAGTCATACTTCCCCCCCCCCCCCATTATTATGCCTCCTCAATATGTTGCTCTCCCACATTAATTGATTTCCACAAGGCAAAGTGACATTCACACACTCCTGAAGGTATTTATGATGCTGATATGAGCTGAGGAGGGTAGCTATGATAAGCGTTATAAGTGGTTTTGGGCTTCAGCAAATGTCTCTCGTACGGAGATGTGTTTATGATCTTGCGAGTGTTTTGAAAATACCCTCATTGCGAGAAACGTGAGAGTAGCTTGTCTTACAATATAAACAAACCCTGTACGATCTTGTGAAATGTTAGTAAATCCAGCCCCTGGAGTACACAAATTACCAATGTGCAATTGATCACACAATACATAAACATTTATATATTCTTCTCATTCTGAATGGAAAACATACATTTTCAAAATTTTCGCTGTATATTCTATATACTAAAACATGGCTACAGTGGTAGCAGTATACTCCATTCTTGTACAAGTACTGATGACAACTCATCTTTAGCATAATTTCTGCATTCTACAAAAGAAAAATCTGCCAAACTCACCTCTTTTGGTTCTAGGAGTTGTCCTTCAAGAGATAATTTCAGCTTATCATATTCTTCAACAAATTCTTTCTTGACCCACATTCCATCACATTTACTCATTATGGAATTTTCCTTGTAGTTGAAAGATTTTTTACCGATGGCAGATTTCTTTTTTTGTTCCTTTGGCTCCACAAACTGCAAAGGCTTTTTCTTCCATCCTTTATTCTTTGGTTCATTAGCTGTGCCTATTTCTTCGTCGAAAACTATATGAACCATCGCTGCTATTCAAAAGTTGTACCTGGGGAAGTAAGAAAGTTCAGAGTGAGTAAAAGTTCAAAGGCATAGCTTGTTTTCAGTAAATTTTATTTTATAATTTTTCTGAGTTGGAGTACTACTGTAGACTTTTTCTCCAATATCAGTCATATGATTGGTGGAGTAGTAAGAGGACATGGAATAAGCTGATGATTAACTTTCGTAAGTCATAAAACCTGCCTAAGCCTACCCTGTCCTTCCCCAGGGGAACATGCTCTTTTTATATACTGAATTCCTGCTTGTATATACTATTTTGTTTACAAAAAATAATAAAAAGTAAAGCAAGGCGTGTTAAAAGAACAAAAGACACCAGCATAAACTTTTCAACCTCAAGATGTCTTCAAATTAAATATCTTTAATATTTTACTATCCTCTCATGTACCAGAGCAATCTATAAATCACTACTGAAAGAGTGGTAGCTCATGGAACTCTCATATTTACCTTCAATTCACAATACTAGAAAATATTCCTGCATGCTGAAGCTACATTAAAAAAAAAAAAAAAAAAAAAAAAATCATTCCCACTGGAGGAATCTTAAAAAAGTGGGTTAGCATATATTTGACCAAAACCTATCAATTTAACAGATATGAATAACATGAATACTAGAAGATTATACATGTTTGAATATAAGTTAAAAGCAAACAAACTAACATTCATAGTATATCTATGAATACATAGTATATAATACATTCATATAATGATAAATATATAATAACCTGTTGATGCCAGGAGGGCAAACACCCATGCCATAATCACTGTGACTTTAGAAAAACACCCAACCCTGTTGATGTGGTAATTCAACTGTCTATGTATAAATCATAGAGCTAATATGGTATCAAAAGTGTTGTATGAGTGCAGGATGGGAGGAAACCAGGTAATGACATGTTAACATCAACTAAGGTAAATGTGAAAGTGAAAAGAAAAGGTACATAATGCAAGACAAAGCAAAGATAATTGTATGGTAAAGACTGGCAAAGAAAATTTGCATTTGGAGGCTTTTTCAGAACCAATAACTTATCAAAAGCATGGCTTTACTGTATCATAATGTTATCATATCATCAATAAAAATAAAAACAATAAAAACATTTCTGAAAATCAAGGAAAAGGCAAAAGGAGAGATCAGGTAGGACATTTACTTGGTGACTAAGCCCTTGTGGAACCATCAATGTGTAACCAAAATTATTAAATTAAAATCACAGTCGATGTGGCACATATATTTGGCCTCATCACCAGGTTAACCAACAGGGTTAAAAAAGCATCTGAAATATCTAAATATAAGTATGATTCCTTATATGAGTTTCACTGTCTTGTTGAATGACAGACTAATGGCTGATTTTGAATGCACATGCCTGCATTAATGAACGAGGCTTGAATGTTTCAGCTTGATCTCAATAAGTTTTCTGGGAAGATATGAACAATGAACAGTCTGCATAATCTGTCTACATTAGCAACCGAGGATATGACAGTCTTAGTCTCCCATTTGGCCATCCACTGAAGAGATGACTCAGAAAATGATACATACCAACAATTACCACTCCTGTTCTACCTGTGTTAATAAAAACTAACTCAAGTGTTTTTGTCTTGATGTTTGACCATGTGTAAATTACTGTCAAGGTAATTTACACAAAATTGGCTGAGGTAATGACTGATGATGGAGATGAGAATAGGTGAACATCCTAGTGAAAAGAAAAAAACTCAATTATCAAGTGAGTAACTAGGGATGGCTCAAGTGCAAGGTGGGTGAGAGATAAGTTTCTTTTCACTATCCTCAAATAAAGGAGGAAGATTAACCATACACTGATGGTGCTAGTGACTACTGGCTACCACTAGCCTTATTGGCAGGTCATTTAATATGTATAGCCAGTGTTTCCTACTCCCTTGCTGTGAGTTATGACAGGCATAGATATACCTGTCATGAAAGGTAGGCTTTCTATGATAGCTAAGCTGTGCCCATCAGTAAAGTGTTAAAAGTAACCACTGTATTTGCTCTACTTTCCTTTAAATTACAATATTTAAGAATAATAAGCAAAAAAGGAGGTTTTGTGCCAAACTTGCACAATTGTATAGACTCTTAATACCTATAGTAGTAATTAGTATCAATGTAAGAATTTGCAATAACAAAGCAATCAAGCTTAACTAATTCTGTTCAATATGTGTCAATTTTGATTTTTTTTCTCTTTAGAATAGTCTCTAGTTTTTATAATATCAATTTACTGGTGAATGGGTATAGATGAAAGGTCCAGATGTGAAGGAAACTATCTTTACCATTTAAGAAAAAAAAAAACACAAAATTACTTGTACAACATAAGGAAAAGAAATCTAATATATACAATATATTTTACTTTGTCTACTTAAGGAATTAATCTTGTATTCTTTAATTTCATTATCTAATTTTTTTTGTCTGTGTTACACACTTCAGTATTATCAACTTGCAAAGAAAATGCTATAGATGAAAAGTTTTAAATTTGTCATTCTGTCCATTACAATCATGTTTACCTTGTACCGTAAATAACAATCCTACCAGGCAAGGACATGAATCTCTGCCACACCAAGTAAATAGTGTAGCTGAGAAGTCGAGTTAATCACTGCCTATTATATCCATATTGTTCTGGTTGAACATGCAGCTATGAAATTATCTGTTGCTTTGTTTCAGTTGCTAATCAGTTAGCAGATAGGCTAAGTCTGAGGGGTCTTCGAGCACGCACAAATAAATACAAATGGTCTGTCTATACTCACAAGTGCATTATTCCACCTCACATTATATGGCTGTGGGAATCTGAAACTATTCCATTACCCCTGCCTTACACACATGTCATGGTCTACGATTACAATGTAAATAATTGAAAGAAGGAATTATAATTGCAAGATTAGAAAAGTTTCTAATTTTCGTTCATTCTGTCCAGTAAATGCAAAATTTTCCTTCTAACTGATGGCTATGTGGAACTAAATCTAC